GGGGCGATCAAAGCGGGAATGGCTGGGAGCCGGGAGCCCACCTTCGTCTATCCGAACATAATCGGTCGCGCCAAGCCCCCGGGCTGGACCGCGGAGGGCGCGTCGGAACTGTACGTGGGGGACCAAGCGCAGGACCGGAGACACTCGCTGTCCATCAGGTACCTGCTTCTGAGAGCAGGACCCCGTGGGATCCGAGGGAGGGGGCCCAGGCCTAGGGGCCCAGGGGTGCAGGAAGGATAAGGAAGCGAGGACGGGGAAGTCTCTGCCAGCTGGCTACTGCAAATGCGAGGGCCACACATTTCGCGGGGTACCAACACCTGCAGCCCGGACTTCATTTGCTGTGTTAGTACATGTATGTTCACACGTGTAAAGAGCTCGCGGGTGCTAGACAAGGTCGTTACAAATGTTACTTAATTCATGGTATCTTTTGCCACTTAAGTTAGTCTCTTCAATTAATTAAAACAATACTGTGACGATTTCTCATTTTTTTAAAAAAAAGTCACAGTCTTGGGGAACCAGCAGATGGCATAATGGTTATGTCGCTGGACTCCCATGTAGTGAACTGGGGTTTGAGTCCTGAACCCCGGGGCTTAAAACACGGAGGGGCGCATGTGCCTGTGTGCCCCAAATCGCAATAATGAAGATAAGGAGAATGGAGAAGGGATTGCAGCACCGCTATCGCAACGGGGTGATTTCTCACTGTCTCTGTCTCTCCATTGAATCTCCACGCCCTATAGCAAAAATCTCTCCCCCCCCCCCAAAAAATGGATCAAAAAAAGCATGGAGGGAACCAGCAGTTAGCATGATGGCTATGTCGCTGGACTCCCACGTAGTCGACCGTGGTTCGTGTCCCGGACCCGGTGGCTTAAAACTCACGCCGGGCGTGTGTGCGTGCGTGCCCAAGATCCCAAGAGGAGAATGGAGGAGAAGGGATTGCGGCGTGACCATTCCCCCTGGGGGGTGATTTCTTGCTTTCTGTCTCTATGTCTCTCTCTGTCTGTCTGGCAAGCACATGCGCCCTATAGCAAAAATCTCTCCAAAAAAAAAAGAAAAAAAAAAGCATCGAAATTTCCAGAGGACGGTACTGTGCTAATTTTCACTTGAGTTGCCTTCTCCGTGAGGCTGAGGCAGTTGTTGCCCATAAAGGGTTAACTGTAATGAATATGAGGATTAACCAGGGGTGAGAAGAGTAGGCTCTGGAATAAATGAAGAAGCTGCCATTTGTCTTATTATTCTCCCTACAGCTACCCAATGGAGCGTGGGCTCATTGTTTCCTGGGGGGACATGGAGATCGTGTGGAAGCATATCTACGAAGAGAACCTGAAGCTAGCACCCAGTCATAGCCCCGTCTTGATTACCGAGCCGGCACTGAACCCGCTGGCCAAGCGACAGCAGACCACGGAAGTGTTTTTCGAGCACCTGGGGGTTCCCGCCTTCTACATGTCCATCCAGGCCGTGCTGGCTCTCTTTGCTGCTGGCTTTACTACTGGGTTTGTGCTGAATTCAGGTGCCGGAGTGACCCAGTGTGTGCCCGTCTTTGAGGGTTACTGCCTGCCTCATGGAGTCCAGCAGTTAGATCTGGCAGGCCTTGACCTCACCAACTACCTCACCATGCTGTTGAAGGACCATGGGATCATGCTGCTCAGCACTGCAGACAGAAGGGTTGTGACAGACATTAAAGAGACCTCCTGTTATGTAGCAGTGAACTATGAGGAGGAAATGGCCAAGAAACCTGCTCAGGTAGAGAAAGTTTACAAACTGCCCGATGGGAAAATCATCAAGCTCCACGACCAGCTCTTCCGGTGTCCAGAGGCCCTCTTCTCTCCATGTCTTATGAACCTCGAGGCCCCTGGCATTGACCAGATGTGCTTCAGTAGCATCATGAAATGTGATATAGATCTGAGGAATTCCTTCTTCTCCAATATTATCCTTGCTGGGGGATCCACCTCCTTCCCCGGTTTAGACAGGCGGCTGGTTAAGGATGTTGCAAAGGTGGCACCTGTCAATACCACCGTGCAGGTGACAGCTCCCCCAGAAAGGAAAATATCGGTGTGGATGGGAGGTTCTATTCTTGCATCTCTTTCTGCCTTCCAAGACATGTGGATCACTGCTGCGGAATTTAAAGAAGTTGGACCCAACATAGTACACCAAAGATGCTTCTGAAATACCGGCAAAATGGTTGGAAGGAAACGTTTTGAATATATGTGACAGAAAAATTTGGATATTATATGTTTCTGGGAGAACAGAAAATATTTCAATTATTGGGATGTCTACGTCTGTTGCATTTCTAGAATGGGGGGTGGATAATAATCATAAAGCAGTAAAAGAAGTGTTTGTTGAGTAGGACCATGTTAAAAGCTACAGGAGACACTATTCTTTTTTTCTTTTTCTTTTTTTTTTTGGAGAGGTTTTCGCTATAGGGCGCGTGTGCTCGCCAGACAGACAGAGAGAGACATAGAGACAGAAAGCGAGAAATCACCCCCCAGGGGGGATGGTCACACCGCAATCCCTTCTCCTCCATTCTCCTCTCGGGATCTTGGGCACGAACGCACACGGCGTGAGATTTAAGCCACCCGGTCTGAGACGTGAACCGCGGTCGACTATGTGGGAGTCCAGTGACAGAGCCATTACGCTAACTGCTGGTTTCCCCCAGGAGACACTATTCTTGACCTTAAAGAGCTTACATTTCCCAGAACAATGTGTGATACAATGTGCTGTGTGACAAATGAGTGAAGAGATTTTAGCTTGTATCAACAGTTTGGGGAAGAAGGTTGCTGTGGTGAGGGAAAACTTGGTAACAGGAGTTTGCCATCATGGGCAGGGTTGGCATTAGGGTAGATAGGGAGAAAAAGGAAGAAAGACAGCCAAGCAAGCATAATGGAATAAGCATTGGGCCATATGGGAGAACAAAGAAAGCATAGCCAAGGCTTGTTGAATGGACTGACTTTTTAAAATGTTATTTATTTATTTATTTATTTATTCTAATGAAGACTCGTGGAGCAGAGTGAGCTATGACTAGGATGATAAATGAAGGCCAGCAACTCAATAGGTTTACGTGTTAAATAGTCTATGCACAGAAGGAAACCAAAAGTAAGAGAAATAAAGGGAGCAGCAGATGGCATGATGGTTATATCTCTGGACTCTTACATAGTAGACCAAGGTTCAAGACCTGGACCCCCCCGCCCCAGTTTAAAACTCAGGTCCATTAGGTGGTGTGGTGATTAAGGTGCTGGACACTCCCACATGGTCAACCACAGTTTGAATCCTTGGTGGCTTGCTTTTTCACTTTCTCTGTCTCTGTATCTCTCTCTGGTCAAATTAAAATGAATGAATGAATGAATAATTAAATAATTCTTTAAAAAAACAACCACCACAACAAAATAACTCATGCTGAGTGCACATGAGTGTGTGCCCAAAATCCCAAGAGAAAACTGGAGGAGAAGAGATTGTGGTGTGGCCATCCCTGCTGGGAGGTGATTTCTTGCTTTCTGTCTGTCTCTCTGGCAAGCAAAAACTGCTCTAAAAAAAGAAAAAAGTGGGTACCAGCAGTTAGCGTAATGGCTATGTCGCTGAACTCCCATGTAGTCGACCGTGGTTCTAATCCCAGACCCAGTGGCTTCAACTCACACCCGGCGTGTGTGTGTGTGTGTGTGCCCATGATCCTGAGAGGAGAATGGAGGAGAAGGGATTGCTTGGTGGCCATCCCCCCTGGGGGGTGATTTCTCGCTTTCTGTCTCTCTGTCTCTCTGCCTCTCTGTGTCTTTCTGGCAAGTGCATGTGCCGTAATGTTAAGATGAAGGGGTAGGCGTCTGTAGAATAAATGGACTGAGAATGCCTTGGAAATCTGGTGATCAGGTAGAAAGTTATTAGTCCACATGCAAAGTAGCCAAGTCTTTTACTCAAGATAATAATAGAAATTAGAAAGAAGAAATTATGAAAAAAACTGACAGCCTTGATCCCTAATTAAATTGATTCGAAGGGAAAAGAAGGGTCTGAGATGACACGGGTACCCAGGAGTACAGTGGAAGTACTGTGACTCCCAGTACCCAGTATCCAGTACCCAGCACCCAGTACCCACTCTGTGCTAGATGCAGTGTGAACTCGGGAGCCAGATCCCATTCTGAACAAGTCGCCTAGCAGAAGCAGTGGGATTCACATCTTCATTGTAGTAACACCAGGTAGGAAGTGATTCAGTGTCCGAAGAGAAGTTAAACATGCTGAGGGGTCTTTGAGAAGGTCCAGTACCCATCAAGGGCTCAACAAGACTTTCCCATAGATTTGGCTTTGGGGTTGGCCTTGAGGGACAGTTAAAATTTAAACCTAATAGAGCGTCTTTTTCTCTGAATTTAGGGGCAACATATGTTGTTGGTTAGGTCCAGACTCTGCCATCCACCAGTTGCATGATCTAAGCACATTTTCTAACATTTTGAAGATAAATCTCCCCATCCATAAAATGGGGTTGCTGTCTCACAGGGTCACTGCGAAATTCAATGAACTAATGTACTGAAAGGTACTTTCAAAATACAGTAAAATAGTTTTTTTTTACAAGTCCAGTTCAGATACTACTACTTCTGTGTAGTATTTATTACTTTGTGTTATTTAGCACATTCTTTTTTTATAAAAGCATTTTATTTAACTTTATGTATTTATTTTAATCAGACCAGAGAGGGACACAGTGAGAGAGAAAGAGAGGGAAAGTGAGAAAGCAAGCTGCCAGATCCAGGATGCAAACCGTGGTCAGCCATGTGGGAGTCCAGTGCCCTTAACCACCACTCCACCTGCTGGCTCTGTGTCCTCTGGCACATTCTATTACTAGAATTGATTCTAGTAATAATCTTCAATCTAGTCTATTACTTATACTTCTGGTAAACATCTAATTTATGCAGCCTCATCTTTTGGCTTGCTATTCTTTCTGCCCTCGCTAGAGATGCTCTTAGAAGGCAGGATGGTGTTTTTCCTTTGATTTCTGTCCCCTTCTCTGATGTTTTCTATGGTGCACTTCCAGGACGTACCCGACAAAAAGAACTGACTAGATGAACATTCCTGGCAGAGGGAACTAACTAATAGGACCAAGGTTCTGAGGTGTAAAGTGATGGGCATGTATGTGGAACAGGGAGTAACTCAGTTTGCTCTGAGCAAAGCATTTGTTAAGAGGTCCATTTTATTTTTTGGCACATGTCTTATTTAAGTTATTTTGAGCAAGGTAATATTAGGCCTGAGTGGACAGAGAAAGAGCAGCTCAAAAGGCCCAGGAGTTACATTCTGTGAGGCTTAAACTTTTTAAATCAAGTTTGTGTTGGCTAATCATTGGCTGGGCCTACTAATTGTTTTCATCTCATTGGCTCCATCAAATGTGATGGGGCCCACTGATTCATCTCATTGGCTTTAGCAAATGTAGCCGAAGGTCTAGATATCCCACTGAACTCTTGCCTGCCTTCCTTGGGCGGGGAATTTTCTGCCCTGTGGGGGTTCCCCCCCCCTATCTTAGCCACATGGGCAAATGCTCTGGCACCCTTTCCCAATTCCATTTGCTAGCTTTGTCCTGCTTCACCAGCAACCAGTCAGGAATAGTCTGTACAGACTCCAGCCTCTCCACAGGATCATAGACGATCCTTTTCAGGTAATCTAGAGGAACTAAAATGTGAACATTCCATTTGGTTATATTTCCCCTGCCCATATACTCGTCACAAACCAACTCCCTTTAGCATTCTTCTAGATCAGATCAGATCTCAGATTGAGAACACCAGTCAAACTTTGAAGGCCAGTTACATGTAAACCACAACTACTGGCCATCATAAAAATCTGCGACAATTTACGGTGGATTGATCCTTTCCTGCAGAATCACAACACAGCATTACTCTAAAGCAAAGACAATAATTAAAAAGCCTCCCTTTCCTGGGCCAGTGAGTGGTGTGGTGGTGAAAGCACTGGACCCCCGTATGGTGAGGTGTGGTTCCAGTCCCAGACCTGGTGGTTTGCTTTCTAGCTTTCCCTCTGTCTCTGTCACTCTCTGGTCATCTTGCTTTCCCTTTCTCTGTCACTCTCTGGTCATTTCGCTTTCCCTGTCACTCTCTGGTCATTTCGCTTTCCCTTTCTCTGTCACTCTCTGGTCAAATTAAAACAAAATAATAAATACCAATAAAAAACATTTTTTTTTAAGAGATTTTCACTGTAGGGCGCATGCGCTCGCCAGACAGACAGAGAGAGACATAGAGACAGAAAGCGAGAATTCACCCCCCAGGGGGGATGGTCACGCCGCAATCCCTTCTCCTCCATTCTCCTCTCGGGATCTTGGGCACGCACGCACACGCGCCCGGCATGAGTTTTAAGCCACCGGGTCCGGGACATGAACCGCGGCCGACTACGTGGGAGTCCAGCGACATAGCCATTATGCTAACTGCTGGTTCCCTAAAAAAAAAAATTTTAAAGCCTCCCTTTTATTCCGTCTTTAGGACTAGAATGAGGTGGGCACGTAGGAGAAACCGAGGAGAAAGCAGTCCAGTGTGAAAGGGCAGGACAGCAACTCGGACGCAGCCCACTGAGCCCAGACAAGATTTTTGAGTAGTCAACCTTGACTGGGTATCTATCTCAGTCAAGTTCCCCTCACAATGTGATGATAAGAATTTCAAATCACTGCTCCGTGTCCTTGGCCCTAAAACTTCTGTGACTATCACTGTCTTTGAGTCTGTCGAGGTGCACCGCGCCCGTTCCACCGGGGATAGAAGTGAGCGCTCCAAGAACCGCCAACGTTAGTTTTGCATTTATATTATGTCGTGGGGGAAAAAAATAAAATCCCAACGTACTCCGACGTGGGGGAGGGGTGCAGATCGTCCACATGGCCAGGAACCGGACTTTAAAAGAAAATAGCTTGCACAGTCTACTCTCGCGAGACGCGTGGCGGGAGGCCTTCGTCCAATCCGCGCGCGCAGCGCCTTCCCCTTTATAAGGACACCGGGCAGGCGGCGCGGAGGGAGTGGAGGGTGGGCCCGGGACGGGCGCGGACCCGGTAATCTAACCCTGACTCGCAAGAGGCGTAGGCGCCGTGCTTTTGCTCCCCGCGCGCTGTTTTTCTCGCTGACTTTCAGCGTTCGGAAAAGCCCTGTGGCCTATCGCCATCCACCATCCTTTCTGGAACAAACAGACAAAAAAAAAAAAATGTCAGCTGCTGGTCCGTTCGCTCCTCCCGGGCCCTGCGGTGGCCGCCAGCCCGCCCTCTCATCCCCCGCGTCCCGCCTAGAGGCCGCGGTCGGCCCGGGGCTTCTCCGGAGGTGCCCATTGCCGCCGCGAAGAGTTAGGCTCTGTCAGCCGCGGGCTCTCGGGGGGCCCGGGGCGAGGCTTAGGCCTCGTGGCCGCAGGGACAGCAACGGAGCGGGTCCCCGCGAGCCTGTGCGCGTCCCTGAGCCGTGGGACTTGCACCGGGGACTTTGCTCGGACAATCTGCAGCCGGCTCGGAGACGGCCCCGGAAGTGTGCTTTCACTGGACCGGGGCCGCCTCCCGGTACCACCACGGGAGGTCGTGGACCCCCAAACCCTGCGGATTGGGCCGAGGTGCGGGCCAAATGGTGGGAGACGGGAAGGCGCCTGCGAAGTTGGCCTACGATGACAGCCGAGGTCGCCAGCTAGACGTTCCTGCGTTGATCTATATATTTTAGTCCTCCTTTAGTTCGCGTTTTTTAATTGTGTCCTGATTCTGCTGCAGATTTTGTTGAGGTTTTTACTTCTCAAAGTCGACCTTAACCAGTTTCCTCAATTGGGTGTGGAAGAGCTGTGATTTTTGTTGTTGAGATCATTAAACATTTCGTAAGTATTTAAGCGAAATACCTAGTACATCTTCGAACGAAGTTGTGCTCTTTATTGGTCATTGCTTTTCATCTTAGCCTCTGCCTTTGAATGAGAAGTATTAAGTGGCAAAAGACCTTAAATCTATAGTGGAGTATGTTCTCTTTCCGTTAAAATTTTTCTTTTTTTTTTCTTTTTTGCAAGGGATCACGTGCTCACCAGAGAGGATGATGGGAAGTGAAAAGCAAGTCACCAGGTCCAGGACTTGAACTGTGGTTGGCCACGTGGGAGTTCAGCACCTTAATCGCCATGCTGCCTGCTGGCCCAATATTTATTATTCTCAACTGAGAGGGACAGTATCCTTGACAGTCTCTTCACATGCGATCAGTCCCCAGCCGGCCAGGATCACAGGCACAAGAGCAGGGAGAGAATAGGAAGGTTTCCGGCAGAGAACCTAGGACCTTCCGGTGTTGTCTGGACACCAGCACTAGATTGGTGTTAGCTGGGGGATAGCCCTTACATATTTGAAGTTTGTTTTTCCAGTGAGAGGGAAAGACATCCCTCACAACAAGGTGTCCTTGGAGAGCCTGGTGGGCTTGCTCCGGGCCTGTCCCTTGAGGCCCCAGGGTGGGAAGCAGGGACTACCCATGGGGATCCAGTTGGGTTACTGGGTGTCACTAAGCTGATGGCCTGCTAGGTTTAAAGGAATGCTTGTTAGGCTGTGTGCCCACTCGTCCTGAAAACTTAGCTCCTCACTCCTGCGCATGTTCATCCCTGGGCTTTGCCTTCACTTCCGTGGGCAGCTGTTCTGTGGGTACCTGCCAGGAGGGGGTCTGGCCTGAATGTACAGTTGGTGCTTGGCAGGAGAGCCCTAATCCTGCTCTAAGGGGTCAGTAAATTTATGAACACTATGTCTGTAGCATCTCTGTACCTAAAGTAAGTCCCTTCACCTGTCTCAACAAATTTCTTAGTGCCAACAGTTAGCGTAGTGATTAAGGTGCTGGATTCCCACATGACTGATCATGGTTCGGGTCCCAGACCCTGCGGCTTGAAACACGCAGGGCTTGTGTGTGGGTGTGCATGCTCAAAATCCCGAGAGGAGAATAAAGAAGGGATTGTGACCATCTCCCTTGGAGTAACTTCTCAGTTTCTCAGTCTCTATGTCTGGCGAGTGCACACACTGTGTAGCAACTATCTCTTTAAAAAAAAAAAATTCTTGGGGACCAGCAGGTGGCATGGTGGTTAAGGCACAGGACATTCCCACGTGGCTGACATGGTCCAAGTCCTGGACCTGGTTGCTTGCTTTCTCACTTTTCCTTTGTCTCTCTCTGGTCAGAATCTAAAAAATAATGGGAACCAGCAGTTAGCGTAATGGCTGTGTCGCTGGACTCCCATGTAGTCGACCGTGGTTCGCGTCCCGGACCCGGTGGCTTAAAATTCACGCCGGGTGGGTGTGCGTGTGTGCCCAAGATCCCGAGAGGAGAATAGAGGAGAAGGGATTGCTGCATGACCATCCCCCCTGGGGGGTGATTTCTCACTTTCTGTCTCTGTCTGTCTGGCGAGCACACGCGCCCTATAGAGAAAAAACCTCTCCGCCCCCCCCCCCCAAATAATGAATGAATGAGTAAATAAAAAATTAAAAATAAATAATTCTTTTAAAAAATTTAAAAAATCTTTACTCTTCTTAGCATTATTACAGTTAAAAGAGAGAGAGAGAACAGCTGGTGGCTTGATGGTCTTGGGAGCTGGATTCCACACGGCTGACCTTGTGGGTCCTGGACCCCAGCAGCTTGGGAAACAAGTGTGTGCATGCCCAAAATCGCGAGGGGAGGGAGGAATGGAGGAAGGATTGGGACATTCCCTACAGTAGGGAGTTCTGTTTCCAGAGAGCACATGCTCCTTCTGGCAAACGAAAAAGAGAGAGAAAGTGGAATCCAAGGTTCTGGGTGGTTGTCCAACCCAGAGAAAAGGGAAAAGGAAAAAGTTGTCCAACCCAAGGAAAAAGGAAAAAGAATTCTCTCCCTTCGACCCGGTTTTGTGGACAGGACGCAAGGAAAGGAAGAAACCAAGTTCTAGTTCTGATTTTGCCTTGACTTCTCTAAGTTCTCCAGAAAATGACCTCGCTTCATCACGCCTCTGCACTTGGACTGTGGGCTGAAATCCCGCCTAGAGACTGCTTGCGTTATTCAGAGGCAGGTAAATCGATGTCTTTTGTTCCTGCTCCACCTAGTGGTGCTTTTGCTTCTCCGCATTTACAAAATTAGTGGTGTGGGGCCTTGAGGCAAGGGGTGGCCCCAGATTGAGGCTGCTTTTTTCTCTCACTGCTTGGAAGAAAATGCTGAGATAATATGATTTAAAGATAATCCCACAGACATCTAACTCTTATATGAGGAAGTGCTTCATTAAAACAGATTTCTAACTTTTTTGGTACCAAAGTAAACTCGTACTTTAATGTCACTTCCCATGAACTTTTTGAAGTCCTCCTTCTGTCTATTATAAACATTCCAGGGCCGGCAGGTGGTGTGGTGGTTAAGGTTGTTGGATTCCCACATGGCTGACCAAAGTTCAAGTCCCGGAGTTGGCAGCTTGTTTTCTCACTTTCCCTCTCTATCTTGCATGCTCTGTCCCTCTCTGGTCAAATTAAAAATAAGTTAAATAATTCTTAAGTTAAAAAAAAAATTCCAAAGGAAAATTCTTTTTAATATTACATTTGATTTATTATTATTTTTCAAATGATTCTCTGTAAAATAATTTTGGAATAAGAAAGGTACACTGAGGTCATTCAATGAGATAATTTATGTGAAAATCTTTTGTAAACAATGATCACAAATGTGACTTAAAGTCTCAAGTTTTTATCTGGCTCTAGCAGATAAAGAAATTGATGCTTAGAGGATTTTTTTTTTGGAGAGGTTTTTGCTGTAGGACACGTGTGCTCGCCAGAGAAATCACGCCCTAGGGGGATGACTACGCTGCAATCCCTTCTCCTCCATTCTCCTCTTGGGATCTTGGGCACGCACGCGCACGCATCCGGCGTGAGTTTAAGCCACCGGGTCTGGGACTTGAACCGCAGTCAACTACGTGGGAGTCCAGAGACATAGCCATTATGCCAATTGCTGGTCCCTAGAGGTTTTTTTTTTTTTTTTTAAGTGTATATTTCTTTCTTTCATGAGAGAGTGCTAGAGCAGGGAAGGGACCGGTATCCTTGACAGGGTCTTGAGGTGCTGCCTTGCTCTCCAGCCAGCCAGCATTATGAGTGCACCTGTGGGCACCCCTGGTGTGTTTAAGTTTACCTGGGGTCTGGACCCAGGTTTCCCCCATGGCTCCAGCATCACACAGGGGTGCCCTTCCATCTGTGCCACTGTGGCTGGGCCAGCTTACAGTAGAAAGTTAAATGGTACACTTTCCACGTGTTTGTGCTTTTCGTTGCTGATAACAGAGCTAACGGGCAGAGTTGGCACCAGAAACTAGGCCTTCCGACTTCCCGTCCTGAGTTCTAGTCACTGTCACACCCCAGCCAATGTCGTTTGGCCTGGAGGAGATGGCTAGTATCAGCCCCGCCATTTTCTGGTTTAAAATAAGATAGCATCCTTCATTGTTACTTCTTTGTGATCTTGGTTCCCACCCCACATCTGCCTGCCTCCCCAACATGGGTGTGACTTACGCTGAAAACTCCAGTGTGCATTTCACCGTCTCACAAGTACAGTGGGTCCTCATTATTTGGCAGTGGTTGCATTCTGTACGTTTTTGTGTACACTGAATTAGTGAATTCTGAACCGCCGCTCCTAGAGGAAGTGCAGGATGAGTTTCAGGGAGCCTCTGGTCACAGTCTTTTTTGTTTAGATTTTTGCCATAGGGTGCATTTACTTGCCTGAGAGAGACAGAGGAGAAAAGTGAGAAATCACCCCCTAGTGGAGATGACCACACCATAGTCCCTTCTCCATTCTCTTGGGATTTCGGGTAATCACGCACATGCACCTCACGTGATTTTCAAGCTGCCAGGTCCGGGGTTCGAACTGCAATTGGCCATGTGGCAGTCCAGCATTTTAACTATCACACCACTTGCCAGCCCTGGTCACAGTCTTTTTATCAACAGATCAATGCATAATCTTGTTTTAAGTGTGTTTCTGTCTGAAGACACCTTAATACATGTTGTGGATTTATTAGTCTTGAACTCATGTCCAACAGGGCTGTAACTCATACCTGATGCAGCTTGTCTAACACAGGTATGTTTTCCATCAGGCTCACACAGCCTTCTTACACCTAGGGATGACAGACAGCACGTAAGCACTATGTACGGCAGTCATTTTAAATAGCAAAATTACCAACAAGAAGCACAAAAATGTGAAAAATGTGCCCTAAATAGGCCACAAAGGGACAGTTGTCTTTATTTTTATTTATTTATTTACTTTTTAGAGTTTTTTGCCTTAGGGCCTGTGTACTTTGGGGGGTGGTGGGTGAGAGGCCTTAACCACCACAACACCTGTTGGTGGTTAGATTTTTTTTTGTAAACATCAATGATTTTAAGATGTTGGTAGCTTGGGGATCAGCAGGTGGCATGGTGGTTAAGGTGCTAGACACATCCACACGGCTGACCATGATGCAAGTCTTGGACCTGGTGGCTTGCTTTCTCAGTTTTTTTCTGGTCATATTAAAAATAAAAGTGAATGAATAAATAAAACAAAATCTTTTATTTAGCAATTATTTATTTAATTCAATTTGTTGTTATTATTTTTCAGTTTGACCAGATAGAGACAGAGAAAGGGAAAGCGAGACAGCAAGCCACCAGGTCTGGGACTCAAACTGTGGTGAAACATGTAGAATCCAGTGCCTTTACTGTACCACCTGCTTGCCCCAATAATTCTTTAAAAAAAGAAAGATGTTGGTAGCTAATTTGAAATAAAACTTAAATATTGTTCAAATGCATAGTAAGAATTTGGCTGGTCTCCGTTCCTGAATCCTGGGAGGTTGTCTTGAAAACTCTTGTAATTGAGGGTAGAAGTGTCTCTCTTATTCACGGTGGTCCCCTTGGACAATACCTAATAATTTATGCAAATGGGATGACCCAGGATGGGTGCTGGTCATTCCAGAAGGACCAACCATGAGATCAGAGGGTTGAAGCTTTCCAGTGATATCGGCCCAGTTGGCCGGGAGGGGATCAGGGTTAACAGCTGAGTAACCTGACCAATGGTTTATCCAGTCATGCCCGTAAGGAAGCTCCAGTAAAAATTCTGCTTACCCAAAACTCGGATGTATTTCCCTGGGTGATGGTTCTCTGTATTGTTATATATCAATGGCTTGGGGAGATAATGTATCCCTCAGGATGTGAGAAGAACAATGGAAACTTTTCCTTTGGAGCCCTCTCAAGCCACACCCTATGTGTCTCTCTGACTGGCTCTGATTTGAGTGCTTTTGTTATAATAAAACTAATGGTATATATATATATATATATATTTTTTTTTTTTTTTTTTAAGAGAGATTTTTGCTGTATAGCATGTGTACTCGCCAGAGAGACAGAAAGTGAGAAATCACCTCCCGGGGGGGTTGCCATGCCACAATCCCTTCTCCATTCTCCTCTCAGGTTCTTGGACACGCACACACATGTGCCCGGCGTGAGTTTGAAGCTGTCAGGTCCAGTTGACTACGCGGGAGTCCAGCAACGTGGCCATTACACCATCTACTGATCCCTACAATAAAACTGTAAGTATAGCATTTTCCTGAGTTCTGTGAGTCACTCTAGTGAATTATCAAACCCAAGAGGGTAGCAAGACCCTCTGAATTTATAGCCACCAGGTCAGAAGTGAGGGTGGCCTGGGATCACTAATTTGAGGCAATGCCTGTCGTGTGGAGGACTTTACCCTTAACCCGTAAGTTGGCCCAGTTTGGTTAGTTGCTATCTGAAGTCATTGCAACAGGCCAACCAAAAACCTTTGGAGATAAAATCTGGGTCATCGTAGGCTACTAATTTGTGACTGTTGGTCTATGCAAATGCAGGGATGTTCAGAAGTCAGGGATTCCTTCTCTAGAAGTGTGAGAGTTGGGCTCTCCCACCCGTTCAAGGCTTAACCAAGATAAACATATTTGAGAGGAGGCTGCCCTGTTGGTATATTTTATAAGCCCTTAGAAATACCACTAAGAAGTTTAAATTCTTAAACTATAATATTCTGGAAATAATAGTGCTACTCCTTCCTCACATTATAGGAACTAGGGCATTTGCCCCAGTGGTTCTGCTTGAAGAATGGGCTTGTCCAGGGTCCATTTTGTCAGGTCCTGATGGGAGTGTGAGAAAGCTTCCACCATCACTTGGTGGAAATGAGGCCATTTCCCCTGCATGTTTTTGTTTGTTTCTTTGTTTGTTTGTTTGTTTTTTGAGAGGTTTTTGGTATAGGGTGCATGTGCTTGCCAAAGAGACAGAAAGTGAGAAATCACCCCTCGGGGGATGACCATGTTGCAATCCCTTCTCCGTTCTCCTCTCGGGATCTTGGGCACGTACACTCACACACCCAATGTGAGTTGAAGCCTCCGGTCTGGGACTTGAACCAGGGTGGACTACGTGGGAGTCCAGTGATGCCATCTGCTTTTCCCATCCCCTGCATGGTTTTTTACCTTGGTTAATATCTCCTTTCACAGGAAGGGATCAGAGTGTATAGAATCTTCATTTGTGTTGCCTCAAATCCTCTTGTCTTCCTTGAGCTATCAAGGGAACAGGAAGAAATGGGAGTAAGAACATCATTGTGATCCAGCACTCTTAGGCTGTTCTAACCTCGCTGACAATCTAGCAGAAGTCACCCAGCTCCCTACCTTGAAGGAGGTTGCATGAGTAACTAGTACTGCTAATGTCAGCAAGAGGAGAGCTCTGCCTTATTCTCGTACTTTGCAAGTTATCAGCTCACAGCGCTGGTGGGTGTGCTGCAGTTACTTCAGC